ATCTTCACTGCTGGCATCTGACAAGCAAAGTCAATGGGAAAGCTGGCAGGAAGGCACAAATGGTAATCGTGTGACTGCAGGATACTGCGACCGTGTGGGATTCACCTAACTACAACAACTGGGATTGCTGCAACTGCCATTGTAAGTCGGCACAGTCACGCAATGTCATGCTTTACAACCGCGTTGCTTAGCAATGGAATTGCTGTCCCAATTACCATCGTTAAGTGAGGACTACCTGTATTTAAAACAAGAGCAGATCCCTTCTGTTTTTTCTGACTCCACTCTATAAGTGATGTATGGGTAGAAATTAAAACATCTGCTTTATCATGACTTCCCTTCCTCATTCCTCAGGAAATTCATTGTTGCCTACCCACTGTACAGAAGACCAAATGGCCAGGTTAATTTACTTTCCTATGTTTATCCTAGCTGCATCAGTTTTCCCATGTGGAATGAAAGCTACTTTTAAAAGCTGAGCTGGTTTTGTGAGCAAAAAGAGGGTACAGTAGAGAGAACCGCTTGCCTTTTCCTCCCCTGGCCCCATGGTCTGAGTTACTCTCAACAGCTGCAAGTACTCGAAGGTCTTTTCTCAGAGTCCTTACGCCCACGTTCCTGAAGGAGGAGATGGTGGAATGCAGCTACAATTTTAGATCACAAGCAGAGGACAAAGAAATTGTTCCTTTCCTCAGTACTCAGTGTTGCTTATGCAAACAGAAGGGAAGATTTTTCTAAAGCGTACTGCTTCATTTGGCAAAAGAATGGTAAATAAACCCCCTTTTTCGTGAATTAGAACAAAAAGCAGAGATGGCCACATAGAACAGCAAGACTGTTGTTGCCGGAGAGACTTTGGTGTAGTGTATAATTAAAGAGGTGATTACCTATGGATGGTGCACTGAGAGCACCTGTGCCTGCAGGAAGTTTGGCACTCACACAAAATGGCAATGCTGGTATGCAATTAACAAGCCATTAGCGAGCATTCAGCCCTCATCTGTTTTTCAGCTGATTTCCTCCTTCATTGTATGAGAGGCTATGGACACTGTAGAAACTGCTTCGAGTACCTTCAGCTGTGGAGGTAAATGACGATTAGGTGTAAGCAGGGCTTCCTACTCCTTTCCTCCATTTCCCTTTCCTGGAAAATATTAGCAGAGACAATAAGGAAATCAAGAAAAGATCTCTGTGTAGGTGCTGTGTATTTGGTTGATGCAAAAGGCATCTTGCAGTGTTTTTTTATCATTCTTAAAGTACTCTAGAGACTGTGAAGTGCAGTTAAGCTGTTCATTGCCTAAAATTTGAAGATTTGGGTGAAATATTCAAGTCCGACAAGCATCACACATTGACAAACCCAGGAAGTTCTACTCCGAAGATCCATGGAGGCAGAACTGACCCTCTACTGAAAAGTTATGGGAGACTTTCTGATGCAGAGGAAGAGGCTCCAGCACAGCGCTCAAAAGACTATGCAGCCTAGTAAAATAGCGAGGAAAGGAACAGATAAGAGTTCATATTATGCGATAAGAGGCATGGGATATAAAACTGTGGTGGGATTTGCATGCCATTACAAATGCCTCTTACTGAACACGAAAGAGTACAGCCAGGTAACCTGAAACTGTAGAGCTGGTGTCAGGCATGGAAAAGCTCAAAATAAGCCGAGGTTAGCAAAGGATACCAAAAACAACAAACATGATTTTATCTTGGAGGTTGAAGTTGTGAGTGGTCCTGAGAGTAGGAATCCAACCTGAGCAATGATTGTAGTGTAGCAGGTTTTATAACTATATCAGAAACATTTATTTTCAGGAAATATATTACAGGGATGGGCAAAGCCTAGCACCTGGCTAGCTACTTCCTACCAGGAGGAAAGTTGTCACAGCAGTGGGGAGAGATTGCGAGTTTTCAGGCTCAGAGAGAGAAAACCACAGCACACAGGAACTGTCTTGTGAACCAGCTGAAATTCTTTATTCATAAAACTGCAAGCTAGAAAACTATCAATCTCTGACAGCTTTACATTTACAGTAGATATCTCTGTAAGTAGCATGCAGCTAAGGCAAGTAAACAGATTTTCAGATCCCCTCCTCCATTCTGTCATCTGCCATAAAAATATTGGACTGTAGTAAAAGCAGTAAATGATTTTATAACTCTAATTGCTTCTCCATTCAGTGACTAATTGTGACAATTTCCCTGCCTGCAAAGTAATGCTTTTTCTGAAATCATTATACCTAAACTGTTATGTATGTAGCTATACAAAATTCCCCTTACAGTTAATCAAGGGCTCCAGATTAAAATTTAGCTGGCAATCTGCTATGGCTAGCAGAACAAATGGCAATCACGTGACCGTGGGATGCTGTGACAGTTGTAAGTGCAAGAACTGGTCATAAAGTTATTTTTTTAGTGCCATCGTAACTTTGAACAGTAGCTAAACAGGGCAGTCATTAAGCGAGATCTACCTGTATTCTGGACTAGCTGTAGCTGCCAAGTGAACTTCAAGAGTAGCCCCAGGTACTCTTTGGGGAATGTAACCCTTCCTTTCAGAGTCAGATAAATTTAAACTAATTTTATATATTTAATAGTAATAGAAAAAAAACCCCTCTGAATTGCACAAATGGAACTCTGTTATTAATACATCATTCTGAGGCTGAGCCATGGCATACAAAATAGAAATTAAATTTTGAATAAATTGTTTGGCATGAAAGCGTATTCACTACTCCTCCCTGCACTTTAAAGAAGTCACTTGACCAAGGCAAACAAATAGGGACATGTAAGATTGATCGTTGTTCCATTTAACTTGTCATGGACTTTCAACAGGAGTTTTTTCAACCCTGCCTGCAGATATTGGTAATATAGTAGAGACATTTTTATGTAAATCTCTTCATCTTTGCAAGAAGCATGCATGTATGCTTACAAGATCTCAGTGAAGCTATTCCTGCAAGAAAATCCTAGTGAAATGATGTTCAGAGATACAAATAGTTGGAAGTGGCTAAATGACTGAACAGCAACAAGGATTCTGTTCTTTATTTTGTGAGGTGGGCATAGGTTCAAATCTTACTTGAATTGTTTTTAATTATGAAAGAGACTTATGGAGGCACTGCAGTGTAACATAATGAGATAAATTGGGATCAGGCCTCAAATGTATAGAAGATAGTGGGCCAATTCAATATGAAAAACAAACAAAAAGAAGCTGTATTATCTGTCATCAGCTGTCACCCAAAAGCTGTGAATTGCCATCCTTTTATTTGAAAGAGTTCCTGTCACATTCATCATATTCAGTAGCAAGTGATTGTGATATTGCTGAGGTAAATCAAGTGGTAGAAGGCTGATTGCTGGCTGTAAAAGAGAGGGCAGGAAATTCTTCAGAATGAGCCATGGTGAGAAGAAGATAGATTAAGAGTACATGACACTCAAATGATGGTTTTGAATTACACTATGTGAATTTTCTGAAGGTATCCCTGACTGTTGAAGGAATATACAAAGTGAATCTTCAAGGAAAGCAAATGAATGTTTCCAAACCAGCAGGAACAGTATCAATCATCTCTTGACCAAAGGAGTCCCAACAAACAATGACAAGGGTGGGGGGGAAAGGGGACATTGGTTTGGCTTATTTGCTAACAATGTAATATGTTGTATCTTATGCAATTTCATATTTTATGCTTTACTCCAGAACTCTACCATCATATTTACATTCTTCATTTATCTTTCTAAAAAACCATGCTATCAATTGTGGTATCTCATATGACATGTATATCATATTATATTTTGCCATACATTATGAGAAAGCCAGTGTGGAGTCTTGCTTAAGGTGTTGGACTGGGACCAGGAAGTCATTGAAGCTCTCTGAGTGAATTTGGGCCTGTCAATCTCTTTCAGCACAACTTACCTCAAAGGGTTATTGCTCTGGATCTAAAATCATGGGAGGTTCCTGCCACGGAGAATAGGCAAGATGTAAATCTATTTAAATGCTCAAGAACAGAACAGGCTCTGTTAGAATGCTTAAAAACTTAGAACATTAAAACAATTAGAACAACTACTGATTTTATTTTTTCACATGCTTAGTGTCAGGCCTAGCCCAAGGAACTCCAAGAGACAATGCAAATTCACTTCAGCTATGTTTATTAGCTACAATCTCTAGCAAGAATCTTCCCAGACTGAAACCCCAGTTCCCAAGTCAGCCAACCACAACAATGTGAATTCCTCCGGGAGGGGCCAGGC